GGAACTTTTGTTTTTATAGTTTTGAAAAGCATAGGGAAGAGTAAGGAGCCCTTTCAGGTTTGTATTGCTCTCTATATCCCCCCAACGGGATCATTCACCCTCTCTATTTGGTCCTGGTGACCATTATCAAAGCCCTAGGAAATCCAACACTTTACAGTTGTCACTGCAATAGGAATAGCGGGTAATTCTTCCAGAGGGAACCTTGGAATTCCTATTTACAATACAATACAGTTTCAGTACAGTAGGGTTAGGAGGGCCCTGCTCGTGAGAGCTTACAATCTAGTAGGTGGGGCAAGGGATACAAAGGTAATAATTGTTTAGATTGAGTTATTGGAGGAAGTAAAAGGCAGTTATGTTGAGATGAGATAGGCTTCCCTGAAGAGATGGGTTTTTAGGGCTCGCCTGAAGGTGGACAGAGTAGGAGATAAGTGGACAGATTGGGGTAAGGAGTTCCAGAGGATGGGGGACACTCTGGAGAAGTCCTGGAGGCGAGCATGGGAGGGGGTAATTAGAGAGCTAGAGAGCAGGAGGTCTTGAGAGGAGCGGAGAGGACGGTTTGGGTGATATTTTGAGATGAGGTCGGTGATGTAGGTCGGGGCGGAGTTGTAGATGGCTTTGTATGTTGTTGTTAGTATTTCGAATTTAATTCGTTGGGCAATTTGGAGCCAGTGGAGGGATTGGCAGAGGGGGGCGGCAGATACTGAACGGTTGTTAAGGTGGGTGAGTCTGGCAGCTGCATTCATGATAGACTGAAGGGGGGATAGCCTGCTTAGTGGTAGGCCAACAAGGAGGGAATTACAGTAGTCAAGGCGAGAAATTACCCCGCACTGGGATAATTCACCCTCTCTATTTGTCCTGCTGACCATTATCAAAGCCATAGGAAATACAATGCTTTACAATTGTCACTGGAATAGGAATAGTGGGTAATTCCTTCAGAGGGAACCCTGGAATTCCTATGCTCCTCAACTCCATCTTGTGGTGGGAATGCCGAGTTAACAGCATTTGCCCAGCATACAGCTGGGCGAAAGGTTTAAAATTCATCCCCCTAGTGTCTGTCCAGTTGCATGTTATAGTTGCTGGTAGAGCTAAATGAGATTGTACAATCAGACTGTAACATGTGTGGCCAATCTGTAGGCTTAGAAAGCACAGAAAGCATGCTGACTTCAATAAAGTTGAGCCTCTTTCACCAGCTTTTTGCAGCATTTGTATAGACATGTGATCCGTGCTTGTTGTACGTCCTCCAGGATGAGAAGAAGTGCTTCGTCTGTGACTCCAGAAGGCCTTATAACCAGCTGACCAACCCCATCAGTCACCGCATTGAAAATGTCATTACCACGTTCGCTGAAGGTCGCAAGAAAGCCTGGTGGCAGTCAGAGAACGGTAACACCATTCATGATCATTTTATAAGACACCTATCATCCGGTATTGCTAAGCCCTTCTGCCATGATACGGTCTTAGTAGAAACAAGAAAAGCCGCGTCTAGTAGTTACCTGCTTGATAATGCAGAATATACACTAAATATATTTAAAAGTTGTAGGGCTTTTGTTCATCGCTATTTGTTCGCGTCATTTTTAATCATTGATAATTATTAGCTGTAATTATTAATATCAAATATTTAATTTACAAATAAACCTTTAATATGGTAGCACCAATGACAATCAAGTTTGCAAACCATGCTGTCAAGCCTTGCCTGCCTGCCTGCATGCCTTTGGGAAGCCTGTATATAACTGACTCAGCCAGGTGGTCCTGCTTCTGCTAGGAGTAGGCAGGATCCGAATCGGTCTAAACACAAATTTTCTAATAGCATTCGGGAGCTCCCAAATGCCATTTGTGTTTGGGAGCCTCAGGTTTAGTTTTATGTATATATGGGTCACAATGTTGGCGCTTCGAATATTCGTTCGTATTATAGATTACTACTTATATACACATAATACTAAAACTGAGGCTCCAGACCCGAATTCGAGAGCTCCCAAATGCTATTCGGGTCCTGAAGCCTCAGCTTTAACATGGCTCCCAGACTTGTATTGCTTTCTGGAGCTCCCGAATGGTATTCGGAAATTCGGACTCCCGAATGCTATTCGGGTCTTGTAGCCACAGCTTTAGTAATATGTGTATATGGTTCCCAAATGCAATTCGGAAATTCGGATCCTGAATGCCATTCGGGTCCATGAGATTAAGCTTTAGTATTAAAGGAGAACTATGGGGTTAAGGCTTTTCCCCATAGTTCTCCTTAGGGTAACGGGAGGACACAAACTAGCGTCCTCCCGTCACTCTAGGCTCAGTATACCGCGAGCTGTAGCTTGCGGTATACTGAGACGCCGCAGCTGAAGCGGATCCCGACAATTATGCCGGGATCCGCCAAGCTGCATGACTGACAGCTGGCTCTGCCTATCTAGAGGCAGAGCCAGCTGTACCCGCCCCCTCCCCCGTTCGTTCCGCCAGTCAGTGCTGGCGGATCGGAGCGGGGAGGGGGGAATCCAGCCCCTCCAGTATGTGTTCGCTCACCTCCCGATCTACTGAGCCGACCTGTGACAGTCTCATTGTCACAGGTCAGCTAGAACTATGAGGTGAGTGAAAAGCACTCACCTCATAGTTCTCTTTTAATATCTGTAGATGGTTTTCTGTGGTATCGCAACGAATATTCGTATACTCATCTGAAACGAAAATTCGGATTTTAGCCGAATCCGAAACCCGAACCGAATTGAATTTCAGATCCAAATCACAAAATGACAAAATATCCAAACCGAATTTTTCCCTACATGTCTAGTGAATATTACATTTTTATATGTAGTATTTTATATTTTGCTGTTGAATTAGAAATATTATTTAGTACTCAACATAATAAAAAAGTATAAATATAAAAATGTAAAAAACATATATATACATGTATAAAGAACAAAATAAAAACACTGAGCTCCAGACTGCGCATATAACACAGATAAACACAAATTACTGGTCATAAAATAAGCCACACGGAGCCCCTCGGTGTCTGTTTGAGACGTAACCAATAAAGATTGTGTCGAGGCAAGTTTGCAAAACGGCCCCCGGGCGCCACTAAAGGTAAATCCAGCCTGGGATTTGTTCACCTCTTTCCTTCCTCTCCATCATGAAAGCAGGTTCATTTAATTACATATATTCCGCTGTTGGATTAGTTCTGTAACATAGAAAGACAAAAAAAAAAGGATACACAGCCTTTGAGGATTTTCACGGGCTAATCCCAAAAGCTATTTTATCTGGAGACTTATTAAAATTCTTCTCGTATCTTATTCCGAAACAGTTTGTATCTCCCGGGAGCAGGGCAGGATGGGACAATGAGAATTGTGGAAGGCAGCATTTTCCTCCGTCCTCAGGAAATTCTGACTCATTTCTCCAATATTCACACGCAGGAGAAAAACATATTTGTTGGCCGGTTATTTTTTTGGAGTACTTGTCATTAGGAAAAAAAGAGAGTTTGGTGATCTCTGTTTTGTTTAAAGGCATTTTCCACTTATTTTAGTTTTCTCCAGTTCATCATATTAATATTATCAGCCGTATGCAAATATAGCCAATTAGCATTGCCATGGGTGGGCCATTTAGGGGTAAACGAGGCAGAGATAATGAGGATTACTAAGCTCTGGAGGTCCTTTATTTATACCATACTGAGATGTTACAACATGATGGGAAAGCTTTGGGTAAGTGTAAGGCAAAGGAACCTTTCACTGGAGCTGGAGAAATTTGGGCAGAAGGGAAGGCTGCTGTGGGGTTACATTCAGGGAACCACACCTATATAGAGTTCCTAAAGGGCAGTCTATGGGACTCCTTTAACTGAGGACATTCAGAGCCCCAACTACTGGAGTCCACCAGTCTGCCCTGTATCTCAATCACTTATGGCCTACAGAATTTTGGTACTTTCTGTAAAGCATTTTGAAGCTATTGCCCTCAGGGGATTTTGGCATTTCCCTGGATCCTGGAGGATATCAGTGACCAATAATTTCTAGAGGACTCTGGGTATCTAGTACTCTCCCAGAGGGTTCCGAGATTCCCCATGAGCAAACATGAAGCCAGTGCTGCCCCAAAGGATTTTAAGATTTCCCAAGAGGCAACAGAAAGGGAGTACTTCCCTAACAGTACTAGGACTTGCCATGAAGGAACGGGAAGCCCCAGAGGATTCTGGGAGTTTGCCTATAAAAAATGGAAGCCAGTATTGCCCCAGAGGATTCTGGAAGTTTCAATTTTTTAAAAATGAAGCTGCTTCTGCCATAGAGGATTCTGCACCTTCCAGGGAAGTAAAGTAAGTCCAATATTATCTCAGACAGGGCTTCCAGTAAGAATACATTATCAAGTAGTGATTCAGAGGATTGTAGGACCTCCCATGAATCTTGGCAATCATGACTCCAGTAATACCCTAGATATTACTGGGACATCTTGTGAGGAATTGTGAATCCAGTAATACTCCAGTAGATTCTTGGACTTTGAGGGTCACTATATCTGGTTATACCCCAGAGAATTCTGGGAGTTCTTGTGAGGAACAATGTATATTGTAATCCCCAAGAGGTTTCTATGGCTTCTTTGCGGAATAATGTATCCAGTAATCTCCCAGAGGATTCTGGGACTTCCTATTAGGAAAAATGTATCTAGTAATTCATTTGCAGGTCCGTAGGGTGCGGGTGATCGTATTCATACGCCGCCGGAATGGAACATGTACGCGTCCCGGCCAGAAAACCTGCATCCCTACGGACCTGCAAATGAGGTGAGCGTAGGGGGGCGTACGGCCGCTTAGCCCCGTAGAGAAGGACTGGGGCTGCGTTCTAATCACACACAGCACCTGTCCTTTCCGGCAGCTACTTGGTACGGCCCCGCACGCAGCATGGAGCTGTACGTGCAGGCCGATTCGTGTGTGAATGAGGCCCAATAGATACAGTATGTGGATGGGGGGTTGTAAAGGGGTCATAGATATGTGGCGGGGGGGTGAGGGGGTTAGTAGTTGTGTACGGCTATTTCATGCTTTTTCTTGTAATTAGACAAGTGGATTATAATGGGGAATATTACACTGTAATGTTCCCTATTATAATCTATTTCTCTGATTAAATGATTACAGGTAGGCATGTGATCTATCAAAGTTTGAGACTACGTTAGAATGTGTGACCAGTGACGTGGTCACACATATTAACGTAATCTCGCACAGGTTTTCGGTGGTGGAATAGGTGAAGAATTCCAACGCTTTCATTTTTTGGTGTAACTGTATTTTATTTTGAAGGCATGTTTAAATACAATTAAATTAAAATTATTAAATCAAAACAATCTAAAATATAAACAATCAACGTCCCCCCCTCAGTGGGCCACAGTAAAATTATCAAACGTTGACCGGTCCGCGGCGATAAAAAGGTTGGGGAGCACTGCCCTAGAGAATTCTAGGACTTCTTCTGAGGAAAAATGTATCCAGTAATCGACCAAAGGATTCTAGGACTTCTTCTGAGGAACCGTGTAAACTATCCAGTAATCCCCTAGAGGTTTCTATGACTTCTTGTGAGGAACAAAGTATATAGTTATCACCTTGAAGGATTCTAGGACTTCTTGCGAGGATCAATGTATCCAGTAATCCCCAGAGGATTCCAAGACTTTTAGTGAGGATCAATGTATCCAGTAATCCCCGCCTAGAGGATAATAGGACTTCTAGTTAAAGGAGAACTATGAGGTGAGTGCTTTTCACTCATCCTCATAGTTCTAGCCAACCTGTGACAATGAGACTGTGACAGGTCGGCTCAGTAGATCGGGAGGTGAGCAAACACATACTGGCTCACTTCTCGATCCTGTCACGGCTCTCTGCCGTGACAGGGGAGGGACTGAATTCCCCCTCCCCGCTCCGATCCTCCAGCGCTGACTGGCGAAACGGACAGGGGAGGGGGCAGGTACAGCTGGCTCTGCCTCTAGATAGGTAGAGCCAGCTGTCACTCACGCAGTTGGGCGGATCCAGACATAATTGTCGGGATCCTCTTCAGCTGCGAGTTCTCAGTATACCACAAGCTGTAGCTCGCGGAATACAGCGGCGTCTCAGTATACCGCGAGCTATACTGAGCTTAGGGTGACGGGAGGACGCTAGTTTGTGTCCTCCCGTTACCCTAAGGAGAACTATGGGGAAAAGCCCTGACCCCATAGTTCTCCTTTAAGAACAATGTATCCAATAATCCCCGCCTAGGGCATTCTAGGACTTCTAGTGAGGAACAGTGTATCTTGTAATCCCCTAGAGGATCCTGGGACCTCTTGTAAGGAACAATGACTCCAGTAATACCCCAAAGGATTCTTGGATTTAGGAGAGTTAACTTCCCTTCCTCTTATACTACTATCCCATGTTAAACAGCATACAGAATACTGTATATACTATATAAGATGTGTATAGTATG